GAGATACTGGCTTAATTGAAGTTGTTTCTGCTCATACGGCTGATGTTGAACAATTTTTTTTCTTTTGACAATCTGTTCAACTTCCTGCTAATATTGAAATGGTTCCTGTCCATAGTAACGACATTAAAGAGAGTTCCTAGAATAATTATTTTGGCTCGATTTTTTGAAGATTTTCAAGAGTATGTTTGAGCCTTTATATCTTAACGCTTCACCAATTCAAAATTCAAGATCAAGTTTTCATCAACTGGTGTAAAACGATTCATAACAAGAAGATATTCTTTTGGAACAGATTTTCAATTGAAAAAGTTTTCAGTATAGTTTTTGTTATCTTATATTTTTTATTTATGTAGGTTATTTAAGTTTATTTAGGCATTATAATATTTGAATTTACTATTTAAATAAATTAAGTATTATAAGAATTAGGATTTTTTCGACTTCCTCTTTTCTAACTTTTTATATTAGTTGTAGTTAATGTTTATAAAGGCTCGTAGCTAATTGTAAATTAAGAGCTCCTTTACCAAGATTTTGTTCCATATTCTTTCTCTTTGTTTGACCTTAAGTTTCTTCTAGTCTATTTATATTATATGTTTCTTGCATAAATTTTCTCTATTTTTAAATTATCCGCTGAACAAGTAAGGTTAACTATTCTCTGTCCTGTATCAGGAGGACTGTTAGCTTTAGCAACATTCACTAGAAAAATATTTCATTCATGGCTAATGAAGTGATGGTCGAGTTGTTCGTGGCCAGAACTTAATAGGAGATCTTGTGTTTGATAACAGATTCGGTAACCTATGATTAAGGTTTACCTAAGATTTTTTGGATGCTCTATACGTTCCTTAGACAGTATTGTGTTTATAGCATTGATTGAATTCTTTTTAGTTGTTTGAGATGGTGGCGGCAAAAAGTTAAATGGTATTGTGGTTGAAGTGTTGATTGGATCCTCTGTAATTTTTTGAGATTGTGGTTACTTAAGATTTTTGGATTGCTCTGTTTCTTCCTTAAAGGATATTGTGTTTAGAGTGTTGACAGGATTTCTTGCAATTCTTTGAGATTGTGGTGAAAAAAATAGCAATTAGGAGTCAAGCCGAACAATTTACAGGGAAGAGTATTTTAGTAATAATGTCTATGAAAACTACCCATAGTTACTAGTCTCTATACTCATTTTATTTTTTTTTTTAAAGTTACTCATGATGCACATATCATTCACGAAGTTGAAAACATAAGGATCTTCTTCCTTTGTGTTAAGACTCTTACTTCCATCACTCCCGATTCCCATGTCTATACCCTACATTGTTTAGAGGGTAATTGTGCCTTTTGGATTTGGGGTAGACTTATTTATTCTAAGTTTCTGGAAGTCAATTGTTTAGATATTGGTACATAACTTTAGTGGTATTGTGGTAACCCGTTGCACTTCTTTAAATAAAACTGATAGTTTACTTCATGATAATCAATAGAAGAAAATGCTGACGGAGCAAGCTCGGTCAGCAACCATACCCAGAGAGTGCGTAGTTGAGTCATGGGTGCGTGTGCGCGCACTCTCAAGTACGTGATACTGTGCACTTAAAGGTGCCTTACTTACACTTAAAGGCGTGCGCGTTTAAAATTGTAAAGAAAAATTTACTGTTCCAAAGTTTTTAAAATTATTACCGCTAGACCAAGAAAAAAAAGATATTTCCTAAATCTTATACAACACCAACTGAATTCAAAATTAAAACTGAGAATTATATTATACATATTGCGGACAGTAATTAACATACCAGTCTCTTCAAGAGAGATCTGATAGGATTTTCTCTTCTCTCTGAGATTTAAAAACTCACAACACAGGGATATAGAGACTATGCTTGAGATGGTTAACAGTGATTTGGAATGATGCAAGACTGTATCAGACAGCTCGGAGAACACCCATACTATACAGGTTAGAGTTTCTTTGGGGGGAATATCACATATATATATATAAACAATAAATCAATAAAATTCTGATTAGCCGGTTAAAAATGCCTCCCCATACTCGTAGCTGCAGGGAGGGAACTGATTGGTGGGGAGAAACATCTTAGTATCTTCTTCAAATATACGCCAGACTGAGTCCAGAGAGTACTCCCAGGATGGAGAAGCAACAATAGAAGGATAAGAGAAATTGCTGTATCCATTACTTACTGGTTTTATGGTGTTTTCTTCCGAGAGATCGATATCTTTCCATATATCATCCATGGAGTATCCCTTCTCTTCCTCAACTTCAATCTTTTTCCCTTCTGGAGTTGTAACATGATCAAGTCCACCTGTATCATAAAAACTTGCTTTTCCTGCATCTGGGAATAGCATCAAGTCCACTGTGGTAACAGTTGATGACGAGGAACAGCAATTAGATGATGGGGACGATGGAGAATTGTCCTGTTTCCTCTGTTGAGCCTTTTTCCTCATATGGGTTCTCCAGTAATTCTTAATTTCATTATCAGTACGCCCTGGTAATTTCCGGGCAATTCTTGACCACCTGCATATTTGATGATCATCCCATACATGGGGATTTCAATTATACAAAGAAATGTTTGTGATTAAATCTTTGAAGAGAATATAGAATAATTATATATTCTCAAACCTATTTCCCCATTTAGCATGAAGTTCAAGCACCAGGCGCTCCTCTTGAAGGGTCATCTTCCCACGTTTGAGACCAGGGTGAAGGTAATTAACCCACCTTAACCTGCAACTCTTTCCTGTTCTGTTCAAACCTACAACAAAACCAGGTGGTTAATGGAAGCCCCTTCCAAAACCGCCGATCGCCAAAAAACCATACCTATTATGCTCTCCCGCCACCTTCAAACCTGAAACTTTTGCTATAAAATCCCATCGTCGATCTCCAAATAAGTGCACAAAGTTGACCAGAAGGATGTCCTCTTGTTCCGTCCATGGTCCCTTTCTGGTTTCCTCTTGCACCATTTTCATTTTGCTTTTTCTCTTTTGCTTTTTATCTGACTGTTCTCGTTCTCTTTCCCTCTCTCTTATACTTCACCTACTTGTACATCCTACATGCACACTGCTTATATTTATATTAACCCACTAACAATTGTTGAAAGACTGTGTGATAACATTCCATTATTATATTCTGATGATTTGCATGAGGTGCGCGCATGCTCATGATAAGCACCTTATGCATCTGACGTCAGACATTAAATAATCGAAGTAAGAGATCAATATGTTGATGCAACTTTGTAATTGCCCTTTGTATTAAGATGTTATTCTATTATTACATGCTGTTACATGTCTCAATTATATGAGTCCACATATCTTGGATTCCTTTAATTCTTTTTGGATAAATTTAAGTGTGTTTTATTTCGTTAGAAGACAACATATATAAATTCAAGTAGAATCCAAGATATGCAGGACTTGGAAAATCTTAATTTGAAGTAAAGGCTTTATTAAACGAAACTGTTTGTAATTATTATTATTTAATATTTTTATTGATTTAGCTTATTTAATTAGATTTTCAATTGTTAGAAACTTAGCCTTTTAGGTAAATTTTCTTATAGAAGCTTTTTGATTTCCACACCAGTTATTTTTATATTTTCTTTGCTAGTTGTAACTAAGGCCAATAGCTACTCGTAAAATAATAAACGTTAATGAATTATTATTTTTTAAAAAAAAAAGTTAACGAATTAAAGAGTTTGTTTGCTAAGGTTGTACTTTTTATTCTTTCTCCCATTTAATCTATTTTTTTCTATATCTTTTCGTCTTGATTTCTGAGTTTCTATGATCTTTGTGCTTTTTTTTTTTTTTCTGTTTCTCATTTAATATTTTTGAGTTTTAAGTTATCTTCAAAATAAGCTAGTATGATGACTATAATTATCGAAGTAGAGTGAAAATTTTATTTAAGTTTTAGTTTCTGTTTCTATATTTTTTCATCTAAGTTAATTTTTCTGTTCCTGTTGGTGAATGAAAATTTTATTAATCAAATAGGCTGAGTAATTTCTAGTTGAAGTAGAGTGGGTAGGAAATCAAAAATTTTTTCCCAATAGATAAAATCATGAATTCTCTTAAATTAAGAAATCAGGCCACATAGTTACAAAATTTAAGAACTCAGAGAAATATAAAAAAAAAATTCCTAAAGTTGACTCAAGCATTAAACTTCCCAATTAAGGTAATTTATGGGAGAAATAGATCATTCCTCACAAGTATGTTTGTCATATTGGAGACTGCAAGTAATTTATGGAAAATATCTTGTCATTCTGATAATCTGAGTATAGGTAAAAGAATACGCTAGAAAAGAAGGGTGAGCATAATGTTTCATTGGATAGAGGGAATAAATGAATAGAAGGCCCTAGATCTTCTTCTCCATCCGTCCAAGTTATCTAGATGATGGGAGCGTCTCTTGACTTTTAGCAAAGGCCGGTAAAAAGGAAAGCAAAAGAAGAACATGACAAAATTTTAAAAGCAGAAAATAGGGAGGAACTGTATGTAATATGTATATGTAGGTGTTTTATAATTGGTCTTTTGCATCGAGTGACAGTGAACACGAGACGAGGCATTTTTTAGGAATTTAAATTGATTGAATGTCAATATTTTGCACAAGTTGTCTTGTATGGTGGTTCCTAGCAGCAGCAATGGTTTAGAAAATTCTTGGGTTTGGTTTAGCTTTATCAAAACTTGAATAGTCATTACAATTTAGGATCAAACTAATTTTATTCTCTAGTTTGAGTTGCATACAAGCTGAATTTTATACATTTTATAACAATTGATATCCTGAATTGTTTTATTTATCATTTTACTTAAAATTATAAGTTTTTTATAATACTATTACAAGATTAGTTTTTTAAACACTTTTTATATTTGATTTTAGTTTATTAAATTTTGATTTGTGCTTAAAAGTTAGGATATTGTAATATATTTTTTTAAGAACTGATGATTTTATATAAAGAAAATGAAAAACATAAATTACAAAACTTGAATTTTTATCAATAAGACTACATAATTTGAATTATAATTAAATTATATCATTACAGATGAAATCGTTATGTAATCTTGTTTTTATTTTCTTTTATGTTTAAGTTTTATCTATGTCTGTCTTAAATTTTTATGTTAATTTTTATATCAGAAAAATAAATAGTCAACTTGATGTATTTATCATATAATAGCAATCAAGTGATAAGGAGTTCATTTTTCTTCTAAAGAGATCATGAATAGTTGTCCGTGCTTCTAGTAATTGTGAGAGAGAATATTTCTATTTTGTAGTCTAGTGAGCTATAATAATAGACTCGTCTTAAAAACAATAATTGTAGCTCAGTTCGAACATTTTACAGCACATAAAAATCCATGTTGCCATGCTCAAAGAGAATTGACTAGGCTAATCACCCCACTCATGCTGGTATAATTGCTTCAATGATTTTAAATTTACATGTTTCATTTTCTATTAATTAACCAAGTCTGAAGATAAGTAGGGTTGATAAGCATTCCCTGGAAGGGCTACATTTTATCACTTTACATCTGAAGATGTCTTTATTGTATTTGTAGGGGGCACTTTACTGCCCTTCCATTTTGTACACTTCTTTAGTTTTTTAAAGAAGTAAATTCTAATGGGTCAATTGTTAATAACCTGTTTGGTTAGATTCAAGGTTTGTTTTCTTGGGACGAGTTGGAAAATTTTATTTGTGAAGTTAAAATTTATAATCCATCTATAATCAGATTGAAAAAGGACTTCATTTTGGCAGATAAATATCCTGACTTTAAAAAAAAAAAAAAAGATCATTTTCAGTCTGGTCTATATATATTACTTCAAGGCAGAGAAATAGTAATGCACTTGGAAGAATGTGATTAGGGGGGGGGGGGATATTTGAGTGGGATATGGCATCATGTGCCTCCGCTTATACTAACAAGATTATATTTGTGGTGGTGATGCTAGCACTGTTTCCAGCATGGTATAGAGCTTTAGAAAAAACAAAAGATATTAAAAAAAAATGCTTTAAGGTCTCCTTTTAAGTGGAGTGAGGATAGAAAGATTAACGAAAAGATGAACCAGTGTGACGTGGATGCCACTAATTTGTGGTCACCCCACTTAAATTTATCCTCCCTCCTTGTTTTACAAGTAGACAAAACTTGTGGTCCCTCGACTGCCTTGAGCATCAATATCAACTTATAAATCTGTATAAACTATGTAACATGCACCTGATTTTTTTTTATAAATTCTAAATAGTTAGAGAGACTTGTACATCAGTAGTCGGTAGAATTAATTAATCGGGACAAGTTAAAGCATATGTATAGGGTGTAATTATAAAGTGTTTAAGAAGTATAGATGATTTGATAAGTCTTTATAAATATGATTAGATGAAAGCTAATTTGGTCATCGTGTAATCTTTACTCGAAGCAAGTTTTATGTATCCATGTTTGTTAACTTAGTAAAAACTATTATGTGATTGAGTACTTACGATAGAGAATTTAAACAATAAAATTTTAGTTTATATGTAAAACTATTATGTGAAATAAACATGAGATCAGGGGGAAGGTGAAATTTTCTTCCATTTTGTTTGTGTTTCTTGATTGAAATCTGACCCGTGGAAAACTGATTAATATATGTTTGACTACATATGGATTTGATTTGTTTGACTGTGTGATTGCGAACACAATTTTTTTACCTTCCAGAATGCTTTCTATCCTGTGTGGTGCCACATGAGGATAAAGGATTTGCTAAATCCTTCGTGATTCCAGTAGTTAAGCCACGTGGCAATTGCTGTGCGCTTCTTGTATATAATATCCTTTAGAAATATAATAAGTGGTATGATAATATAGATTATTGAAGTGATAAAATTTTCTTCCTTTTTTTTTTAGATCACGCATTCTGCTTTTTGTATTGAGTGCGGAGCTGATTAACCTGGAAAATAGCTTGTCTGGAATTGTTTTAGCCTGCTCAAAACTTGTGGGTGGGGAATGGGGTTTGTCTCATCTTCAAATAAAGGTCCCATTTTTCGGGATTCTTATGATTGATTGGGATAGCAGTTTGATATGTGGTGATTGCTAATCATATATACGAAACTACTTATCGTCCCCCTGATGATGGCTCTACATGATACCAAATTTATTCTACTATTCTATGCACCTCTTTTATTGACTATGTAGGTTTAGAAACCTAAAGTGGGTATCTTTTCTTTTTCACCTTTCTTATTTGCTTTTTTTGGAAGAACAACGGTTTAGGAAGTCAGCAGTGTATATTCTTAAGCTAGGAAGGTAAAAATTTCCCACGGGAGGTGAAAAGAGATGTTATTACCTTTGAGTAGTAAGTTCATTTTACTTTCTATCAAACAGACGTTGGTGAAAATATTTGAAGGGAAAGTTGAAATTGTACAGGAGTACTAGGATATCAAATATTTATTTGGCATTCAAAGATTAGATTGGCACTTGGACACCTAGCCCTTATATGAACTTTATACGTCTGCTTGAGTTCATGTCTAACAGAATTATAAAATTTTGAAGGGTATTAATTTCAAGAATTGTTTTTTGTAAAATTTTATGACTTTTGTCTTATTCGGAGAGTGTTGTCTTAACCCTACGGAATCCAAAATTACACCAAATTTTCAATCCGCACTAGCATTTTTTAGGACTGGTGATCGGTCAAAGTTAAAAAGCAGCCATGGCGGTTGATCAAGTTTATAATGATTAAGAAAGAAACTGGAGGCACATGTGGGGCATCCTTCCACTTTCACCGGTCTTTTTCATATCATTGCATTTGGTAATAATAAAAGCGTACAGGGTCTTGGAGGATCATGGCTGAGATTCATCGACTGTTGGATACCGTGGAATTTAGCCACTAGATTTATGAAAGTGGGTTTAAAATTTCTTCAATTTGGAAGATATATACTTATTAGTCTAGTTGACAAGCAAAAGATCATCATCAGTACTTGCTGCCTTGGAATTTTCCTAGGAGATATACATCTCTATGTCACGGTTATTTCGTGACATGATATTCTCAACATTACAGCTATACACATGCATTATATAGCCTAACTGATAAAGAGTTTCATTTTCCTTAATGGAAGATCGCCTGGAGTTCATAGTTATATATTT